TAGGGCAGAGAACCGGCTGTTAAATTATTTGATTCCCACCACTGCACTAGAGGGTGACATTATAGCAGTGTTCCAATATCTAAGGGGCTTCCACAGAGAAGACGGGGTCAGCCTATCCTCCAAACCACCTGAAGGCAAGACAAGAAGCAATGAGTGGAAACTAATCAAGGACAGAAGCAACCTAGAACTCAGGAGTAATTTCAGCTAAGTCAATTAATCAGTGGAACAATTTGTCTCCGGAGTTATGGATGCTCCAACACTGGAGGTTTTTAAGAAGAGAATGGACCACCATTTGTCTAAAGTTGTATAAGGTCTCCTGCTTGAACAGGAGGCTGGACTAGAAGACTTCCAAGGTCCCTGCCAACTCTGTTGTTTCATTAAGAAGCTAGATCCCTGGATGAGTTTCAGCAGATTGGCAAGGATTCCTGTCTCCAGTTTTCTGAGTACAGCCAAGAGAGAGAAGCTGGGGAACTGAGAGTTCTAATACTGGTATTGATGTCCAGATCCTGAGCTTGGACTGCTTTCGTGCCAAACTACTAATTACACCTACAGGGAGCTGATGTTGGGAGTCTCCCATCTTCCACAGAGAGGAAAATCAGCATTTTTTCCCCCATGCTCTGATTAAAAAGTGAACTATTTTGCAAAGGTTGCAAAAACAAAACCTCAAAAAAAGTTTGGTAGCTCCTTTTCCGGTGAACGTAACTTTCTTAAAAGGCATCCACTTTCATGAGCCACAGCTCGTTTAATTTGCATTGGCCAGCTCACGAAAGCTTATGCTTTTTAATAACAGTTTTATAAAAATGTGTCGAGTCAAAATGTTGCTGCCAGACTCCTCTTGATTTTTGGGCTCCTGTAGATTATACAGGCTTTCTTCCTGGAGATCTACGCCTGATAAGCTTGCAAAGATGAGAAGGTTGCAATCAGAATATCGTTTTTAAGGTGAAAAAGTGTTACAAGCATGGGATGTTATCTTAAGCCCTGATTAATTCGATGTCACTCGCTGGACTTTACTGTTTATCCTGGCTTTGCTCTTTGTTGCTCCTGGAGGATGGGTCTTCAGTCCTTGTAGCCCTCCTCCCCTGAAAGAGATTACTGTATTTTTTGGAGTATAAGACGCACCTTTTTCTGCCTTAAAAGGGGGTGAACATTTAGGTGCATCTTATACACCAAATGTAGCCCCACCGACCCTTTGGCCTCTGCCTCCCAGCAATTCATCTCCTTGCAGCAAGCAGCAAGAAGAAACTCCTTTCAGCTTCAGCACAGCCTACTTAGCACAAGTTGATTGGATCAGCCTCCCAACTCACAGCTGTTTTGCTCTCAGCTGTTTTGCGCGGGCCTCTGCCGCTTGCTACAAGGAGGTAAATTGCTGGGTGCAGATTTTTTTTTCTTCTTGTGCTAATCAAGCTATGCTGAAAACGAAAATGAAAGTAAAGCAGGCTGTTTGCTGCAAGGAGGTAAAATTGCTGGAAGGCAGAGGCAGATTTCTTTTTCTTCTTTTCCTCACCAAAAAAGGTAGGAGCATCTTATATTCCGGTGCGTCTTATAATAAAAATACGGTATATGTTCCTAGACCCGTGATGGTGAACCTATGGCACACATGCCACAGCTGGCACACAAAGCCCTCTCTGCGGGCACGCAAACTCACTCAGCTCAGCTCCAGTGCACATGCATGTGCACACTTCCGGCCGGCCATCTGATTTTTGGGATGTGTGAGGGGTGGGGTGCATGTGTGGGCGAGCGCATGCATGCGCAGGGAATGGCAGGGAGGGGCAGCATTCCCCCCCACAGCCCAGTTTTGGGCTCAGGAGGCTGCAGGGAGGCCTACTAGGCCCAAAATGAGCGTGGGGAAGCATGGGGAGTCGTGTGCACATGCATGGGGCCAGAGGGGTCGTGTGTGCATTCGGGTGGGCGCATTGCATTATGGGTGACAGCACGCACATTCACGCTTTTGGCACACGAAGAGAAAAGGGTTAGCCATCACTGCCCTAGACCAGGGCTCAGCAACCTGCGGCTCTGGAGCCGCATGTGGCTCTTTCATCCCTTTGCTGCGGTTCCCTGTTGCTGGTCGGCTCCACAATTGATAGGGCTTTTGGTTAGGACAGGTAGAGGAAAAAGAATGCCGCGCTAGGAGGAGACTCTATGGTGGGGGGATTGGACTTCTGGAAGCAGAGGAAAAAGGACACCACGCTAGGAGGAGACTCTATGGTGGGGGGATTGGACTTCTGGTCAGCAGAGGAAAAGAATGCCGTGCTAGGAGGAGACTCTATGGTGGGGGGATTGGACTTCTGGACAGCAGAGGAAAAAGGACACCACACTAGGAGGAGACTCTATGGTGGGGGGATTGGACTTCTGGTCAGCAGAGGAAAAAGAATGCCGTGCTAGGAGGAGACTCTATGGTGGGGGGATTGGACTTCTGGTCAGCAGAGGAAAAAGAATGCCGTGCTAGGAGGAGACTCTATCGTGGGGGGATTGGACTTCTGGTCAGCAGAGGAAAAAGAATGCCGTGCTAGGAGGAGACTCTATGGTGGGGGGATTGGACTTCTGGACAGCAGAGGAAAAAGGACACCACACTAGGAGGAGACTCTATGGTGGGGGGATTGGACTTCTGGTCAGCAGAGGAAAAAGAATGCCGTGCTAGGAGGAGACTCTATGGTGGGGGATTGGACTTCTGGTCAGCAGAGGAAAAAGAATGCCGTGCTAGGAGGAGACTCTATCGTGGGGGGATTGGACTTCTGGACAGCAGAGGAAAAAGAATGCCGTGCTAGGAGGAGACTCTATCGTGGGGGGATTGGACTTCTGGACAGCAGAGGAAAAAGAATGCCGTGCTAGGAGGAGACTCTATGGTGGGGGGATTGGACTTCTGGACAGCAGAGGAAAAAGAATGCCGTGCTAGGAGGAGACTCTATGGTGGGGGGATTGGACTTCTGGTCAGCAGAGGAAAAAGAATGCCGTGCTAGGAGGAAGACTCTATGGTGGGGGGATTGGACTTCTGGTCAGCAGAGGAAAAAGGACACCACGCTAGGAGGAGACTATGTTGTGGGAACCGGACTTACAGTCGGCTCCAGAATTGAATGGGGGCTTCCAGTTAGGACCTCTGTGGCTCTTTGAGTGTTTAAGGTTGCCGACCCCTGCCCTAGACCAAACCGTGCCTGAATGACAGTGCAGCTAAATTCTAAAGTTTTCCCCTCATTAAAAAACAAGTCCAACATCCTGCCATTAAAAAAAGAAAAAAGAAAAAAAGAAAAAGGCACCGCAGAGAAGAAAGATATAAAATCTAGGGATAGCTTAAGAGGTGGGACATGAGAGAAAGAATCAGCTGTGGATGAATGGAGATGTAAGGGTATGAGGGAATGACCTTGAGGAACAAGGGGAAGAGATGCTGCCTAAGGAATGAACAGATAAAAGAGGAAGGAGCCTGCAGCTGCTTAATGGTCAGAAAAAGAAACTTAGGAAGAAACCATTCGAAATTGACCAGGGTTGTAAAAAGCAACGGAGAGAGATTTCTACATTTTGGACTTGTAAAATTCTGTTAATGTTGTCCTACAATTAAGAAGAATTAGCTCATCTGATCCTGCCTCCTGTCTGGTTTAGCTGGAAGGGCTAAAAGGGTAATCATTGGTGGCCTACATTGGAAGTGTCGCACATGGATTACCTGGCAAGGGAGCTAGAAGCTTAATGTTTCTGCTCTGTGTACAAAGCTAATTATCCATCGCAAATTGCTTTGGAAAGAGCGATAGAACTTTTGTTGGAAAAGCAACCTTGTAAGAATTTTATACAACTAATAAACTATTTGTAAGGGTATGTCTTTTACATCCAGTTCCAACCAGGAGTTTTGCTATCATCTGTCTGTCTGTCTGTCACCTATCTATCTATCTATCCTATCATCTATCTATCTATCTATCTATCTATCTATCTATCTATCATCTCTTATCTATCTCTATCTATCTATCTATCTATCTATCTATCTATCCATCTATCCATCTATCCATCTTCTATCATCTACCTATATCTATCTCTGTCTGTCTGTCTATCTTTTTATCTATCTATCTTCTATCATCTATCTTATCTATCCCTATCTACCTATCTATCTCTATCTATCTATCTATCTATCTATCTATCCATCCATCCATCTATCCATCTATCCATCTTCTATCATCTACCCGTAGCTATCTCTGTCTGTCTGTCTGTCTATCTATCTATCTTCTGTCCATAGCTATCCATATCTATCTATCTATCTATCTATCTATCTATCTATCTATCTATCCATCCATCCATATCTATCTCTATCTATCTATCTATCTATCTATCTATCTATCTATCTATCTATCTAATCTGTCTATCTATATACACATACATACATGCATACATACATATTGGAACTTTGAGTCCTACCTATAACTAACCTTTTTGAGATGATTAAATAATACCTTTGGAAATTCTCACCCTGGAAATTCTGGGAGCTTGAATCACGCTGTAAGGGCATCAGGTTGGAGTCACCTTGCTTGCTGATTTTAGAAGTGCAGCATGCTTTGTGATGGTCCTTTTCCATTTGAGTTATTTATTTGTTGATCACATTTCTACACCACTTAAGTGACTAGAGCCTTTCAGATTTAATGAGTTCCTCAACATTTCAATCCTTGCACAACTGCAAATGTTGCAACCATTGCAAATCATCATATAAATAATAAGTATAAATGGTCCTAGCAAAATTTGACTAAAAAGATCCTGATATCACAATCAACTACAGTTACTGTTTATCTAAGTAAGCAACAACTTACTTGCTCCCCAACATTTTTCCTTCCTTCCTTCCTTCCTTCCTTCCTTCCTTCCTTCCTTCCTTCCTTCCTTCCTTCTTTCCTTCCTTCCCCCCCTCCCTCCCTCCCTCCTTCCTTCCTTCCTTCCTTCCTTCCTTCCTTCCTTCCTTCCTTCCTTCCTTCCTTCCTTCCTTCCTTCCTTCCTTCCTTCCGTACAATAAGAAACAGAGTGCCAGAAATACTCTATTGCTCTAATTATACAACTTCATTGTTTAATTGAGATTGTTTCATCTTCAAAAAATTTTGGAATGTCTTTTAGCCTTCTGGGAGGCCACCAAGACCTATTAATCAGGTAGTAGGAGGTCCATATTATGAAGATCTACGGGATAGAAGGAGTGGGACGTGAGTCTTCATGCAGATCATGAGATCATCACAAAAACAGTATGGATAAAGTACTGTAGTTTGCACACAAAATGAATGTGCAGTGACATCATGGCCTAAGATGGACACTGTGATCTACAATTCAGCTTTCCTAGAACAAAATCTGCCTCTTGGCCTTACCCCACATTCTTCATCACATATCAAAGACTTGTTAAAGACTGTCCATTTCTCCAAGTAGACATCTATGGACTCAAGAGAAAATAGTAGGCTTGATTGAACCAGGAAAATATTACCCAGCTAGGAGATTTCATCATGTCTCATCTTGAACCTCTTCAGTTGATGGCATGTTGATCAGGCTCTGTCTGAGAACATATAATTGAAAGGAGACATTATAAATGTACAGATCACTAGATATACTCTGATGCAGAAGATGCTGTAATGTTTGAATTCTGTGTCATAATATCCTTCTAAAAGCAAGCAAAGGGGGGGCGGGAGGGGGTTTTTTTGCAACACAGTCAGCAGGCAGGGGTCTGTGGGAGACCAGTTTTAGCGTGACAGCATCGAATATTGAAAAATCACTTAGCTGGAGAGATAAGTGCTTGATGGTATAGAACTACAATAGCTGTTTCTTTGATAAGCTACTATATCTCAGCAACACATTTCGAGTTGGTGGCATCGAATCTGAAGCCAGCTTTATATATCATCCCTAATCATTTTGGATGGGTAAGAAAAAAAGTAAAGAAAATTATATTATCCCAGATGGAAAAATATAAAATGCTTGGTTTAGTTCCCCATTGTTCAGCCCTGTTAATTTTCTTATTTCATTGCACATTTTTCTTAGAGTCTTTTGACACCTTTTGACACAGACCGTTTTGCACTCTTAGATATTTTACTTTAAAAAGCTCTTAGGATATGTACTGGCACGATGGCAGTCTCTCACGGTTTACCTGTGAGTTGAATAAGGTGCGAACCATTGATTTTGTAATACCTACTCTCGGTTCTCAGTAAATCTCATGTTAAAGATTGTTAACTTTTCAACTGCTAATTGCAAAGGTTAAAGGAGCTTGTGCAATGAAATAATAGGAATAGAAATGGAATGGAATGGAATGGAATAGAATAGAATAGAATAGAATAGAATAGAATAGAATAGAATAGAATAGAATAGAATAGAATAGAATAGAATAGAATAGAATAGACCTTGGAGGTCCTCCAACCCCCTGCTCAGGCAGGAAACCATATACTATTTCAGACAAATGGTTGTGCAATCTCTTTTTAAAAATTTCCAGTGTTGGAGCATTCACAACTTCTGGAAGCAAGTTGTTCCACTGATTAATTGTTCTAACTGTCGGGAAATTTCTCCTTAGTTCTAAGTTGCTTCTCACCTTGATGAGTTTCCATCCACCCATTGCTTCTTGTCCTGCCCTCTGGTGCTTTGGAGAATAGCTTGACTCCTTCTTCTTTGTGGCAACCCCTTAGATATTAAACCATTGCTATCATGTCATCCCTAGTCCTTCTTTTCATTAAATGGCATACCCAATTCCAGCCACTGTTTTTTATATGTTTTAGCCTCCAGTCCCCTAATCATCTTTGTTGCTCTTCTCTGCACTCTTTCTAGAGCCTCAACATATTTTTTTACATCGTGGCAACCAAAACTGGATGCTGTATTCCAAGTGTGGCCTTACCAAGGCGTTATAAAGAGGTCCTAACACTTCTCATGATCTTGATTCTATCTCTCTGTTTATGCAGACTAGAACTGTGTTGGCTGCGATACAAGCTGCTCTATCTTATCTTTCTAATATAAAAACAAAAATGGTGCATCATATTCAAACATGACACTGCACCAAAAGCAAGGCGAAAAGAAAGCTGCACTCTTTAGAGGAACTTACTTGCGTGATTCATCCATTTGTGTGTGTTTCAAATAGTCCATTTTCCAAATCCCGGTCCATTCAGAGGCAATGTTTTACATTCCAGCATTTTATTTCATGTTGGAAACAATCACTAAGGGACTGGATGGAATTTGGCAAGAAGATGGGAAGAAGATTTGGCAAACACAACAATGCCTTCGAGGACTGTATAGATCCCCGTTTCCACCCCTACTCTTTTGAGCATAGGATTAAATCTTCAGGCTGGAGAGAATTTCGTTCAAATAATACCATTAAGACTGTAGAGAATGGAAGCCGTTTTCTATGTGCAAAATCTTGCACTTTTTCTGAGTGAATGATTTTTATCGGACTGTTTTGATTGTGTTGTTACTTTTTAAGCTGCTTTGGATTGCTTTTAAGTCGAGAAGCTGATCAAAACTCTTTATGCGAAAGGGAATAAAAACTTAATTCCAATTGTCCCCACAGAGTTTCAAAATGTAATGCCAAGGTAAATATGGGAAAGGGTTGCCAGTTGAAGTATGAAATGTATCCCCCCACTGTGGCCTTGGTATGTGGTCAGTCATTTGGAGGGCTTAGAAATATTTGTGTTTGTTAATGGATAAATGATTTTGCCTCAGAACATTGTTGTGCTTTAATTCATCTGGGGGGAAAGGGAAAAAAAAAAAAACCACAAAGTAGCTGGAATGGAGAAAGAAAGAAAAATGGTTGCAGTTCTGTAGAGCTTCCAAGATTGTGTTGCATATAAATTTTAAAAATGGGCTCGGGCACGGAGATAGAAATGAAACAATATATTTCCTAAGCTACTTGAAGGCAAGGATGAGAGAGAAATTTGTTCTCTTCGTGTTTCAGAGCAGATGTACTCAATCCATATTACCCAATCTATACATCAGCTTTCCTCAAGCAGACACGGTGTTTATATATTGGGACTACGTCTCCCAGGATTCACAGCCCTATATCTGGAAGGCATCAAGCTGGAGATAACAGAAACACAATTATAGGTTGTTCTGTTTTGTTTCCCAAATACATAATAACAAAGTTGGAAGGGGCCTTGGAGGTCTTCTAGTCCAACCTCTACTTAGGCAGGAAACCATATACCAGGGGTGTCAAACGGGCGTCTCACGGGCCAGATGCATCACACGCAGGCCAAGCCCACCCCAGTTCCGCGAAAGGAAAAAATATCACAATATGTCACATGACGGCAACGTAACACGACAAGTTTGCCCTATATCATTCCAGACAAGTGATTGGTCAGTCTCTTCTTAAAAACCTCCAGTGATAAAACATCTACAACTTCTGGAGGGAAACCGTTCCACTGGTTAATTGTCCTCACTGTCAAGAAATTTCTCATTAATTCTAGGTTGCTTCTCTCCTTGATGAGTTTCCATCCATTGCTTCTCATCCCGCCTTCAAGTGCTTTGGAGAATAGTTTGACCCCCTCTTCTTTGGGGCAGCCCCTCAAATATTGGAAGAATGCTATCATGTCACCCCTGGTCCTTCTCTTATGTTATGATTTTATTTATTTTATTTTATTTTATTTTATTTTATTTTATTTTATTATTTTATTTTATTTTATTTTATTTTATTTCTATACCGCCCTTCTCCCGAAGGACTCAGGGTGGTGTACAGCCTGATTAAAAACACAAAGTCAGACAAAATTTAAAAATAATTAAAATTATTAAATAATTGGCTCAATTATAAAACCCCCAAATTTAAAATCCCATATTTAAAACCAATTAAAATCTTTACATTGATAGCCTGGCCTGGCGGAACAACAAGGTTTTGAGGGCACAGCGAAATACACGGAGATCGGATGCAGTGTGATCAACTGTTAAGATGCAATTTGCAACTCAAAAAAGATACAGAAAAACGTGATTGAGGAAATCATTATATAGCTGGTAAAAATGCAAAATGGGTACAGACATTTCAGTACTGAGGTCAGATTTTAACAAGAGGATAAATATTTTATCAGCACATTTTTTTTTATCACTCTCTGGCTATATATGAAGCCACGTAGGAGCTTCATACCAGGCTAAAGTTGGACCTGTTCTTATTGCCAGTTGGAGTTTTACAAGAATACTTGTGTGGTATACCAATAAATCAGAGGAACAAAACAAGTGTGGTTTATCATAAAACCACACCTGAACTGGGCAATCTTTCAAATAGAGAACAGTCCTTGGTAAAAATTGATGACATGGACCATCTGAAGGGATGCGATGATAAAATCAAATTTATGAAATCATGCATTTAAGTGTGGGACTTATTTAGAACTTATCCTAGAAATATGAAGCAAAGTAGCCGATAGATCACCCAGCAAGTGTTGAAAGAATAAGGTACAAGATAATTGGAGAATCTGCTGAAAACTGCATTAATGTGCATACCTAGTATAAACCAGTTTCTTTGGGGCAATAAGCCCAACATTTACTAGACTTGTAACAATAGTGGGGAGGATTGCAAATATGCATTTGTTACAATAGAGTTGTTGGGTGTATATGTGTCAAGATAGGATAGGATAGGATAGGATAGGATAGGATAGGATAGGATAGGATAGGATAGGATAGGATAGGATAGGATAGGACAGGACAGGACAGGGATAGGATAGGATAGGATAGGATAGGATAGGACAGGACTAGGATAGGATAGGACAGGACAGGACAGGACAAGGATAGGATAGGATAGGATAGGATAGGATAGGATAGGATAGGATATGACAGGACAAGGATAGGATAGGACAGGACAGGATAGGACAGGATAGGATAGGATAGGACAGGACAGGACAGGACTGGACTGGACTGGACTGGACTGGACTAGATTCAAACACAAACACAAACACAAACAGAACAGGAGCTGGAAGGAACCTTGGAGGTCTTCTAGTCCAGCCCCCTGCTTAAGCAGGAGAACCTATACTATTTCAGACAAGTGACTGTCCAGTCGCTTTTTAAAAACCTCCAGTAATGGAGCGCCCACGATTTCTGGAGGCAAGCTATTCCACTGGTTAATTGTCCTCACTGTTAGGAAGTTTCTCCTTAATTCCAGAATATCAGCATGGTGGCCACCACGGCATGATTGAAGGCCCACATACCAAAATGGGACAGGATTTAAACTGCACGTTTCTGGCTATCATTTTGATTTCTTTGGCAACTGCAGTATCTCGCCGCTTGGCAGTTTTCTTACTTTACAGTAATAACGTGCGTGCATGTACAATGATTCAGAAGCAGATGAGCCATAAAATCAAACTGTGACATTTCCCCTTTTCTTTAAAAAAAAAAAAAAGCAAACAGTATAGCTTTGGAACATGTTGTTTCTTAAGATTGCTGGTCCGTTTAATGAGAGCGTTTTGGCAGTGTTGACTCTGCTCATCCAGTGGGACTATCTTGGGAAGTTAAAGAGTCTCTGTTAAGAGACGTTGTCTGAAATGATGGAGACATGGACAAGATGACAGGCCTTCTCTGTGGTGGCCCCCCACAGTTGGGTCCTTAAAGGGCCCTCCACTTTCAGAAAAACTTTCAAGATCATTGTATTTTAATTGGGCCATTAACCCTAGCTCAGTTTCATTGACTTCTGGATGTGGATATTTTAACAATTATTTTTGGTAATGTTGATTTATTCCGATTGTCGCTGTTCTACTTTTCCCATGTTATCACCTGCTCACAGTCTTTGAGCTGGCTGCAAACACTGTAAAATAAATTGGATCTCTCTGTCCTCCCAAAGCAATTTTACCTTACAGTATAATGATAGGCAAACGTTTTGTTAAGAAATTAGACAGGTTGAAAGGGAAAATTTTGGAACATGTCTATTAGTGGTGCTTATTCAGCCGGTTCTATCCGGTTCGGGCAAACCGGTAGTGGCGGCTGTGGGAGGCTCTGCCCACCCGCCCAGATGTCATCACGTCCCATTTTGACGCTCTGCGCATGCAGAGAGGTGGTGCGCGCGAGTGAAGCGAGCGTGCGCACGCTCACATTTGCAAAGGTAAGTGAATACCACCACTGATGTCTACACAATATATTTAGGAAATGATGGGTTAGATCAGTGTTTCTCAACTTTGGTAAGGTGAAGATGTGTGGACTTCAACTCCCAGAATTCTCCCTGGCGGGAGAATTCTGGGAGTTGAAGTCCACACATCTTCGATTTGCCAAAGTTGAGAAACATTGGGTTCAATCGAGGTGCATCTTGGCATGTCTTCTGCAACGCAACTGCAACTTTTAAACTCTTCTTTATCGTTCCACACAATGGCAACTATAGGTGCCTATAGAAAATTTAGGGTGGGGGTGGGTAGAGAACTTGAAATGTGCTTGATTTGAGGTGATTCCAACCCACTTTGCTTTCTCTTCCCCTCTTTGTTGTCTGTTGTTTCTAGATGCATCATCCCATTCAGATGAAACCTGCAGATAGCGAAAAGTCCAACGGTAGGTGGCGAAAGAATTTCTTACCTAAATATTTATTTATTAATCCGTTTTCGACCCCACTGCCCTCATAGAAGACACTTAGAAGGAAGACAATAATAAGCCAAACACAATAATCAAACAAAAAGCTTACAGATAAATTAAAACATCCCAGATCCTAAGAAGCCTCTGAAAATGCTCTCTTTTCCAGAAGGCCAATATAGGTAGTCCTTGACTTATATCCGTTCATTTAGTGACCATTCAAAGTTACAATGGCACTGAAAACAGTGACTTAGGACCTTTTTTCATACTTACGACCGTTGCATCATCTCCATGGTAACGTGGTAAAAATTCACTTGGCAAATGGTTTATACAGGTAATCCTCGATTTATGAAGACAACTGAGCCCAACATTTGTTATACTTAGTGAAACTTTTGTTAAGTGAATTTTGCCCCATTTTACGACCTTTCTTGGCACAGTTGTTAAGTGAACCACTGCAGTTGTTAAATTAGTAACTGGATTGTTCAGTGTATCTGGCTTCCCCCATTGACTTGGCTTGTCAGAAGGCCGCAAAAGGGGATCATGTTACCCCAGGACAGTACAACGGTCATAAATATGAATCAGTTGCCAAGCATCCGAATTTTGATCACATGACCATGGGGATGCTGCAATGGCTGTAAGTATGAAAAATAGAACAGAAATGGTCATAAATCACTTTTTTTTTAGTGCTGTTGTAACTTTGAACGGTCAATAAATGACCTGTTGTAAGTCGAGGACTACCTGTATTTATGACGGTTGCCCTATCCCGGAGTCATGTGATCCCCTTTTGTGACCTTCTGACCAGCAAAGTCAATGGGGGGAAGTCCGATTCACTTAACAACCGTGTTACTAACTTAACAACTGCAGTGATTCCCTTAGCATCACGGGCAACTCACTTAGCCATTGTCTCGCTCAGCAACATAAATTTGGGGCTCAGTTGTGGCCGTAAGTCGAGGACTATCTGTATAAGGGGGCCTTGATTCTGACAGTTTTGCTAAGAGAAAGGAGAAGAAGAGAAAAAGTCAAAAGAAACCTCTCATGTTCCTTCGAGCGTGAGAACATATCTATTCCCGCATGGAAGAATGGTTCACCGTGGCTTTTTTCCAGGATGTGTCTTTGCTCCTCATTGATTATTAATCAGGGCAGAAGCCACGCACCTGGAGATTTAAATACCTGCAAATGTAAATGATGGCAGGACCCTGTTTCTCTTCTCTCTTTTTTTCTCTCTCTCTGCAGAGATAGGCAGGTTTAATTTTTGTCCTTTCTTCTGTTTTGAGTTGTTGTTGTTGTTTTTTTAACCTCTTTTGGAGAACTGAGGTCATCATTACCATGCATCCTGATGTCTCAGTTCTCCATGGATTCTGCACAGCTTCGAAAAGACGCACTTGGCTTTTTACATTCTAAAAAGGGTGCATAAATGACCACAGAAAACACCACAGCCAAGCAGGCTTGGGCTAAAACTGTCAGACCTGCCGCAGTCTGATCTCCTAGGAAAGTAAAACCCTCGACTCCCTTTGATGGGAGTGAAAAGGTACTTTGACTAAGAGATGCTGATTGCAGTAGAGTCAGGCAGAATCTGAACCCCTTAGTTGCCCAGCCCATCTGTGTGTAGCCAATCTGGCATCATCAAGATGTTTTGGGAAATGCTGAGGTGTTCAGGATGGTGAAATTCCATTCTCAGGGTACGTGGCCTTGAAGATGCCGGCTTCCAAAATGCTCTGTTCTTCCTCAACTGTCAATCCCACCTCCCAGTTTCCCATCATAAAGGTATAAAAGAGCCTTGGTGGCGCAGCAGACTAAAGCACTGTTAAGTAACACCAGCTGCCTGCAATTACTGTGAGTTCAAATCTCACCAGGCTCAAGGTTGACTCAGCCTTCCATCCTTTTGAGGTAGGTAAAATGAGGACCCGGTTTGTGGGGGCAATAAGCTGACTTTGTATAAAAAAGAACACCGCTTGGGGGGGTGAAAGCCCTACTAAGCAGGTATATACAAAAGTATGAAGGCTATTGCTTAACGCATTGTAAGCCAGCCTGAGTCTCCGGAAAAGGGCAGCATATAAATCGAACCAATAAATAAATAAATATTGCCCATGTGGTCTTCCCCCTCCCTTCCCCTATTAATGGCAGGATGCCAGCGATGATTGACACCCCTTCACACAACAGAAGGCCTTGTCAAACCAGAGGTATTCTTGAATGGAGGAAGCCACAACAGATCAAGATGCATATCTTGCAAGCTGAAGAGATCTTACGGGTTTAAAAATAACCCTTGAAACCATACCATTCGGGTTGCAAGATCTTGTTACGCTACACGGGTAGTCCTCGACTTACGACCGCAATTGAGTCCAAAGTTTCTGTTGTTAAGTGAAACATTTGTTAAGTGAGTTTTGCCCCCTTTTACGATCTTTCTTGCCATCGTTGTTAAGTGAATCACTGCAGTGGATAAGATGGAAACCCGGTTGTTGAGAGAATCTGGCTTCCCCGTTGACTTTGCTCGTGAGGTGGTCGCAAAAGGGAATCACATGACCTTGGGACACAGCAACGGTCATAAATATGAACCAGCTGCCAAGCACCTGAATTTTGATCGCATGATTATGGGGTTGCTGCAGAGATCGTAACTGTGAAAAATGGTCATAAGTCACATTTTTCAGTGCCGTTGTAACTTTGAATGGTCACTAAATGAACTGCTGTAAATCGAGGACTACCTGTACAGGTAGTCCTCAACTTTCAACAATTTGTTTAGTGAGTGCTCGAAGTTACCACGGCCTTTAAAAAAACTGTTTTTCACACTTGCGACCATTGTAGCATCCCCACAGCCACAGATCAAAATTTAGATGCTTCCAATTGACATATTTATAAGAGTTCCAGTTTCCTGAGGTCATGTGATCACCTTTTCAATCTTCCAACAAGCAAAGTCAACGGGGAAGCCCGATTCACTGAACAACCATGTTGTCACACCTGCAGTGGTTCACTTAACAACTGTGGCAAAAAGGTCATAAAATGGGGCAAAACTCATCTAACAACAGTCTTGCTTAGCAATAAAATTTTTTGGCTCAATTGGTATTTCACCCACAAGGGAAAACTTTGAGAGGAGACCCTGTCATAATACTTGTAAGCTTTCCCCATGGGCTAAATAACATTTAAAAGTGGTCTTTTCATTTGTTTATCTTTTGCTTTTTCTTTAAAAAAAAAATTGTGCAGATGGGGAAAAAAATCAGGTTTTCTTCTGTTCCAAAATACCAGCTCAAGTTTCTCATCTTTCAGCCTGCATTTTTGTAAACCATCAACAGGTCAGCTGATACCCTAGGAAAATATAAAATATTGAAATGGAAATTCATCCATTCATTTATATGTTATTTTGATCCAATCCAAATTTAGTATAGATTATGCATAATTCTACACGATGATTTCTGCGAAGGATCCATTGGTTGTTTAAAAAACCTTATTGTTCACATCTTTTGAAAATTTATTACGTTTCAATGCTGATTTCTCTGGGGGATTGGCGCAGACTGGAAGCCACGTACAATTCAAGTGAAATCAAAAATTAATTTATCTGCATTTCCTTGATCGTAAGCGCAAGCAATTAGGTATTTAAATCTATTTGGAAATTCAAGGATGGATGTCAGATACCTGTTATGTAAAAAAGGAAGAGTTAAAGAGCTTTCACATAAATGAAGGCATTATTTATTTTAAAATATACTTTTCACAGATAAAAAAAGAAAGAAAGCAATAGGGATTGGAGGAGAAAGGAAGAAATCTTTAATTCTATTTTATATAGACACCTCCTGCCCCCTTTTTTGCACTCTTACAATCTGCCATAATGTCAACTTGCAAAGCTTTCAAGTTGCCAGAAGTTTTTTTCGGAAACTTCACACGTAGTCTACCTGGATGCAATGTTGCCTGAATTAATTAACAACTTCCCCTGCCATGTATTAATGTTAACATATGGTATTTAATTACTGCTACCAGCTCAGCACTTTGTCCTTTTAAAATGTCCAATCTTTTCTTCCAAGTTTCTGCAAAGTCAGAGACCAACTGTCACGCTGGCCTTCCTTCATTTCCTTTTTCTATGAGTCATGAGTTTTCTCTGAGTTGTTTACAAGAGACCAGACAGTGTAGCTATTATTTGATACCACTAGAAAGTGTTGCAGATGCTCTCATAAAATCAGTCATAAAAAAGCTTTGCCAGTCCCAAAATAGCCAAATCGGTGGTTTTGTTAGGTGCAAGGAATCAGAACAATACATTGCAATTGAAAAGATGTATTGGTCATGCCTATACATAGGAAACCAGTCAACTAAAGTTCAATACTAAATTGGCACCAGATAAGGATGAAAGGAATTCAAAAGAGATTTGACTTAAACATTTATGGGAACATAATGATTCTAGGCTAGTGACTCGTTTAACTCCGCCCCCTACTCTTCTCTTAAAGATTCTTTGCCAATCCCTTTAATCTCTATAGAATGCTAGTTTCCACACAGGTAATTTGGAGGAAGATTCTGACCAGATGGACATACAGGTAGTCTTCAACTTACAACAGTTTGTTTAGTCACCATTCAAAGTTAAAACAGCACTGAAAAAAAGCAACTTATCACAATTTTTTACATTTACGACTTTTGCAGCATGACCGTGAACATGTCATCAAAATTCAGTTGCTTGGGATTCGACCGGAAGCGTTGCGGCGAGACAGTCAGAAACAAAACAGAAATTTTGGAATCAAATGTGGTTGTAAATTGAGGACCACCTGTATTTTTCCCCGAATCTCCAAATTGCAGCATCTTCCATCACAATGTTTATGAGAACTAGGTTTAGAAACAAATTAAGGGGAAATCACCTGCTACTTGAACTTGCTGAAGTTGACATTATGCTAACCTGGTACTCTGCATATTAATTTAAGTGTAAAAGAATGTAACAGTTCATGTATCAGCTGAATTCCAGCTTAATGGGTTTTTTTAAAAAAATAATAATTTGGGTTAAAAGATTTTACAAA